AGGCCAACCCCAGGTGTGTGTCCTGTCCCGTTCACTGTATACTTTAGACTTAGACTTAGACTTTCTTTATTGTCATTCAAACTTGTACTTTACAGTGCAGATAAGAACGAAATTTCGTTGCATTTGGCCCGTTGTAGTGCAGGATAAAAACAGCAGCATGTATTTACATATAAAAAATAAAAATAAGGTGCAGATATAAATAGATATAAAAAGAAAAACTATGAGTAAAAATACTATACAGATAAATATATTGCACATTATATTGTGTTTTAGAGTCCAGTGAGGTAGTCCTGTGTGGGGGTTTGAGGGGGAATGGAGGGATTATTTTTTCCTGTTCAAAAGTCTTATGGCCTGTGGGAAGAAGCTGTTACAGAACCTGGAAGTTCTGCTTCGGAGGCTGCGGAACCTCTTTCCAGAGTCCAGCAGCGAAAACAGTCCTTGGTGGGGGTGGGAGGTGTCTCTGCTGATTTTCTGAGCCCTGGTCAGACAGCGGATCTTTGCGATCTCCTGGATGGGAGGAAGTGGAGTCTTAATGATCTTTTCCGCCGTCCTCACCACTCTCTGCAGGGACTTCCAGTCGGAGGCACTGCAGGCTCCGGACCAGACAGAGATGCAGTTTGTTATGATGCTCTCTATAGTGCCTCTGTAGAAGGTGGTGAGAATAGGAGGAGGGAGGTGTGCTCTCTTCATCCGACGCAGAAAGTGCATGCGCTGCTGCGCTTTTTTCACAAGAGCGCCGGTGTGAAGGGACCAGGTCAGAGTGTCTGTTATCTGCACCCCCAGGAACTTTGTGCTGCTAACTCTCTCCACTGCTGTGCCATTGATGAGGAGTGGTGTGTGGCTGGGCTGGCGCCTCCTGAAGTCGACGATGATCTCTTTGGTTTTATCGACGTTCAGGGTCAGGTTGTTGGTTCTGCACCAGTCAACCAGATGTTTCACCTCCTCTCTGTAGTCCATGTCGTTGTTGTCACGGATGAGGCCCACTACTGTTGTGTCGTCTGCAAACTTCACGATGTGGTTAGTAGTGGACCTGGCGCAGCAGTCATGGGTCATCAGGGTGAACAGCAGCGGACTCAGGACGCAGCCCTGAGGGGAGCCGGTGCTCAGGGAGATGACACTGGAGGTGTTGTTGCCCACCCGCACAGACTGGGGTCTGTTTGTCAGGAAGTCAAGCAGCCAGTTACATAGGGGGGTGCTGAAACCAAGGGGGGCCAGTTTGCTCACAAGATGCTGCGGGATGATTGTATTGAACGCTGAGCTGAAGTCCAGAAACAACATCCGCACATGTGTGTCCTTCTCTTCCAGATGTTGTAAGCCCAGGTGGAGTGCAGAGGAGATGGCATCCTCTGTGGAGCGGTTTGGGCGGTAAGCAAACTGGTACGGGTCGAATGTGGGGGGAAGTCTGGAGACAATGTGGTCCTTTACCAGCCTCTCAAAGCACTTCATCATGATGGGGTTAGTGCTACAGGGCGGTAATCATTGAGCGAGGAGATTGTGGATTTTTTAGGCACTGGTATAATTGTAGCAGTCTTTAAACATGAAGGTACCACAGCCTGGATCAGCGAGGTGTTGAAGATGTCTGTGAGAACCCCAGCCAGCTGGTCAGCACATTCCTTCAGCACCCGTCCCGGTATGTCGTCAGGGCCCGCTGCTTTCCGGGTGTTCACTCTCCTCAGGGTTCTCCGGACATCAGCTGTGTCCAGGCTGATTGGCTGCTCATCGGAGTGAGGAATAGTTTCCTCGCTGGAGTGTTGAGTGCCTCGAACCTTGCAAAGTAGTTGTTGAGGTCGTTGAGAAAGTTGATGTTGTTGTCACAGGGGGAGGAGTAGCTTTATAGTCTGTGATGACTTGGATGCCCTGCCACATTCGTCTGGTGTTCGTGGGTCCTCGAAGAAGTCCTGCACTTTCTGACTGTGAGCACGCTTTGCAACCTTTATGGCACGTTCAGGTTGGCTCTGGCTGTTTTTAGTGCCACCATGTCGCCAGATTTAAAAGCGTCGTTCCGGGCTTTCAGCACTGCACGTACCTCACTAGTCATCCAGGGTTTCTCGTTGGCCCGTGTGGAGATGTTCTTGATCACACTAACATCCTCCATGCACTTCTGAATGTATGCAGACACAGACTCGGCATACTCCTCCACACACGTCTGGTGATTGTCCGTAGCAGCCGCCTTGAACATGTCCCAGTCCGTGCATTCAAAGCAGTCCTGTAATGCTTCCATAGCTCCCTCAGGCCAGGCCCTCACCTGCTTCACTGTGGGTTTTTTCCTGATCAGCAGGGGCTTGTATGCTGGAATTAGCATCACAGAGAGATGGTCTGAGGTGCCAAGGTGGGGGCGGGGTGCAGCCTTGAATGCCTTCTTGATGTTGCTGTAGGCCAGGTCCAGCGTGCTCCCACCCCTGGTTGCAAAATCCACATATTGATGGAAATGAGGAAAAACAGTTTTCATATTGGCCTGATTAAAGTCCCCTGCCACAATGAAAACTCCCTCTGGATGTGTAGATTGCAGTTCACTGATGGAGCGGTATAAAACATTCAGGGCTTCTCTGGTGTTTGCACTGGGAGGAATGTACACTGCTGTGAAGATCATAACAGTGAATTCCCGGGGTAAATAAAAAGGCCTGCATTTTATAGTCAGTAGTTCTACATCAGGAGAGCAGTGACTTGAGACTATCTCGCCGTTGTTGCACCAGTTGTTGTTGGTGTATATGCAAACAACGCCGCCTCGGGATTTACCAGTGAGAGAGCTGCTCCTATCCGACCGAAATAATGTTAGCCCCTCTATGCTAACTGCCTCATCTGGAACGGATGGTTTCAGCCACGTTTCTGTGAGAAATATGGCGCAGCAGTCTCTCATCTCCCGTTTTGCAGTTAAATCCAGCTTCAGGTAGTCCAGTTAGTTCTCCAGGGAGCGGACATTAGAAAGCATGATGGAAGGAAGCGGCGTTCTGTGCGGGTTAGCTTTTAGCTTTGTTGTTAGCCCCGCTCGGCACCCCCGTTTTTGCTTCCGGTCACACTGCTTCCGTCTCCTCCGCTGGCGGACTCCGCTTGTACGAGGCTCCGCTGCTTCACAGGCCGCTGGTTGTAGCCGGCGTAGTATTCCGAGGCTACGTAGAAGGTCCAGAGTAGTCGCATCTACCGGACTGAAACTGTTTGATTTACCTAAAACTAAAATTGCCTTGGCAGTCGTATATTACTTTAGAGTAACTACGCTGCAGGTTTACTGTGAAATTATCAGAACTGACTGGGTTATTTGCCATTATATTCCTGTTGCTATCACGAGCCACTGCAGCCGCAGCCGAGCAGGGCACCGCCATCTTGGCATGGTATATTTTGTATACAAATGACTGCAGGAGCAACTTTGACAACAGGCTTCTCCCAACGTTTGCAGACGACACTGTTTTAATTAGTCTGCGCCAGGAGAGAGAGGTCGATCATGGGCCATTTGTAAAAGATTTTGTGGAGTGGTGGGACTTCTTGAAGCTCAACGTTAATAAAACGAAAGAGTTGCCCATCCACTTACGGAAAACCTCCCATTCAACCTTTCCCAACTCTAATCAAAGGCACACCTGTGGAGAATGTTGACTTTTATAAGTACCTGGGCACAGGGATTCAAAAGAACTTGAATCATGACCACAACACAAATGCAATCTGCAAAGAGGGCCTGCGGAGACTCTACTTTCTGCATAGACTGAATACTTTGAATGTGGGCAAGACACTGATGGTTTTATTCTACCAATCTTTTATTGGTTGCATTTTTAACCTTTTGTTTTCTTGGTAATAATCTTTCAGTGCACAACTCAAACTGTCTGTCCAGTATCATTAAAACAGCAAGTACAATAATCAGCACTCAGAGGCTTTCATTGTCAGATATCTGAAACAGACAAATTGTGAGGAGAGCAAAGTCGATCTTGGCCAGCTCTGACCGTCGTCCTCTCTTGGAGAGGACGACGGACTGTTCTTCTCCCCTCTGGTCGGAGGTTCAGGCTGCCCAGGGCAAAGACCAACAGGAACAGTACTGTCTCCTGTTCCTTGTGCATTTAATACACTTAACCTTCCTTAAACTTTAACTGCACCTTTCAAGCAGTGTAACAGAGTTAGAATTAACCTTGAATTTCTGCAAAATTGATGTGGCTGTCACATTTATGTTAGTTTGTCGCCGCCTGGTGGTTTAATAGCACAACTGTGGAAGGGCTCTTAGCTGGCCACCGTTGCAGAGGAAATCTCTCCTGAGCTGAAGGTGGGTGCATGTGTGTCGTGCTGCAACCAACATGTCTTTCTTTAATGCTTTAAAACGGATCCAGAAACTGTAAGTGACCATGCATTAACGGCCTGTTTGAGCACTCATTTTCTGAAAAGTGGATCAGGCAAAAGATTGAAAGGATGGACTGATCTCATCATTGGGGGGTTTGTAGACAGACTAGAGACACATATTAGTGTTAGAGAAAGATGGTGAAGTGTGATGTGTGTAATATGTGACCTTTAAACATAAGCTGAGTGACTTCTACAAAATCTGGGTCTCTTTTTACACCTCCTTGAAAGTGAAGTTACATATCAGAACCTAAATGTATATTACCTCTCCTCGATTGCCTTGTTACATTCATATTTATTCTATTCTCTTATAACCACACTCTACAAATGAATGATCCATCATGTTCTGACTGCACTTTTGTTTAAATACTTGCTGCACTTTTTTTTATATGAATGAATTTTATATGACTTGTACACTTGTATATAGCGCCTACTTTTTCCTTTTCTTCTTTCATGATGAGATGTATGAGGTGTAGGCTATATGTAACAGCTTGATATAGACAGCTTATTAATTTCACCAAAACACTAATTTTTCATTATATTTCTTATTTTGCATTTCCTATATCCTCCTGCCTGTTTATTTTGGAGCGTGTGTGTGTGTGTGTGTGTGTGTGTGTGTGTGTGTGTGTGTGTGTGTGTGTGTGAGGACGGAGGTACGTGCATGCGCCTAATGAGCGTGCACGGTGCGCGCTCCCGCCACAGCAGTCTTCAGCACGGTCAGAGGTAAGTTACTGATGAGTCACGCTCCGCTGATAAACTCGTATTAAAGTATTTTTTGTGTGATTTATATTAAACCAAACTCTGGTGTTATGTTCCTGGTAATATTCGACTTGTCCTGTGTCAGTTTCGCGGAGTTTCGAGTCCGATATTTAAAGTTATTTATTAGTTTCATCTTGATTAATAACGGATAATTAATGTGTGTGTGTGTGTGGTAAGCTAGCGTCGTTGCAGGGAGGGGGGGAAACCCCGTCGTCTCCCGTTAATGACGCGTTTGCCTTTGATCCGTGAAGATTCTTCCTGCAGACTCACAACACACACAGCTCGTGGATTTCTGTATTTCTCTCTGTTGATTCAGGTATGGAGACGTGTTTATTTGTCTAATTAATACATTTAAAGAGTTAATTACTGACGTTTTTTAATGTAATGTTTGTCAGCTGTGTTTTCTACATGTAACTATTAAAGCTGCTAATGTGGATTTACATGCTTCATATTAATGCAGATGTTAAAACATTTTTCTGTGAAGATTGTCTAAAAAAAACGGTTCTGTAAAAATTATTATTAATTTGCTGTCTAAGTGTTTAAATTATTTAAAGTTAACTTTCCTACGTTGTATTTATTTATTCTGACTTTATTTTGGATAATATAGTTTTTTAAATAATTGTGTTAATCTTGAAGTGATGTTGATTTGATTACATAATTTAACATGAATGTGAATAAGGAACAAAAATCAGTTTACAGCATGGTCAGAGGGGAGACGCTGTAACAACACCACAGGTAAGTGAACCCAAAAGCACGACTCACGACGCAGTCTTTGACGGGGGAAAAAAAAAGTCTTCACTCTTGAAGAAGATACAATCCAAAAAAGTGATCAAAGGGGAAACAAAAGGCTTGAACGCTTCTCACAGGGGTCGAAGACGAACTGGCACAGAAGGAAGGGAAGCTACAGACTAAATAGTAGGGTGAGGGGGAAGACAACGAGATGCAGCTGGGAACAATCAGGGCGGGGCAGACGATCACACAGGTGGGAAACACATGAGGGCGGGAAGTGACGGATCTGAAACGAGACGAGAAATTAGTGACCCAAAACAGAAAATAAAACAAGTTAGAAATAAAAACAACCTAAGACCCTGAGCTGGACATGACAGACGCTCGCTGCAGACTCACAACACACAGCTCATGGATTTCTGTGTTTCTATCTGTTATTACAGAGGCAGGACGTAAAGAAGAACCAGAACCTACGTAGTCTCTCCTGCTCCGTCATTCCCAACCAGAACACAACGCAGACGCAACATACACACGGATTACAAACACATGGGTTACAAACACACTGGTTGTCAAAATATTCCTGCATCCTTGATTTATTTTCTGTAAAAATCACAATAAACATAAGATTTACATTTTATAACGGCTTGTTTTTTTTAAATTCAGAGCAACAACTTCTGATGCAGCTTCAGGACGTAAGGAGAATCTTAACCACAAAGATACAGATGATGCTTTCAGGGACTCCTTAGAGTTCAAGTGAAAAAGTCTGAAATCAAACATTCACAGCAGCTGAAGCAACAGATGACAGTTAACCAGTTAACACGCTGAGCAGATTATCTTTAAATAGACTCCAACAAACCAACCAATCAGGATCAAGATTTTACCTGCTGTGGAAATACTCAAAGTTATAATGAATGATTTAACAAAACAACATCACCATCACCATGACAACGCAGTCACACAACCCTAAGAGAATCAGAGACGAAGATTCAGAACACCTTTATCATCATGTATTAGTGTTCCACAGTCACAGAGATCTTCTCTGGTAAAATCTTTAGTGGGAGTTTATCACCAGTGCTAATGAATGGAAACATCCTCTCAGTGAAAGTGTGTGTGTAGGTGTGTATGTGTGTGTTAGTATCAGGATCAGAGAACGACAGCTCTCCTCTGTTACAGTCCAGATTCACTCTGATCCTCTGAGGCTTCTTCACTGAGAGATCAGTGACTGGATGTGTTGAGGAGCGTGCTGTGTATTCACCATCATTGAAACATAGTCTACAAAATCCAGACTGTATGACTCCCTTCCTCTTTACAGACTCTGCTAACACACCCAGTGTCCAGTCTGTATTGTCTCCAACCTGGACGTCCCAGCTGTGAGTCCCTGAGTTAAATCCCTCAGAGCCCAGGACAGAGCAGAATAAATTAAACCTCTCTGGATTATCAGGAAGCTGCTGTCTCTCTCCTGCTTTCACACAGGTCAGATCTTCAGACAGGATGAATTTTGGATTAGCTGTTTTTGGGTCCAGAATGACCGGACTGTAGGAGACCATGTCCTTCATCTTGTTCCAGATGTTGAAGGTCAGGTTGCCCAGGTGTTTGGCCTGGTCTATCAGAGCTCCTGAAGGCAGCTGTGGATCCTCCAGCAGGGGGCGCTGCTGGACTCTTTCCACTGCAGCCTTGTAGTTTTTCAGGAATGAGACGTCTTCAGCTCTCAGCTCGTCCTCTGTGTCTCTGACTGTGTGTGAAAGAGCTGCTATCTCTCTGCTCAGAGCCTCCATCTCCTCCTTCATCCTCTGACTCTTCTGCTCCTCTTCCTCCCTCAGTGCACACAGCCTGGCCTCCTCTTCCTCTTCTAGAAACTGGTGAAGCTTCTTAAACTGCTCCTTAATCTGCCTCTCTGTGTGTCGGGCCTGGACCTGAATGTGTTCTGCTGTTTGATCAAACTTCACTTTAACTTCTTTAAAAACATTTAACTTCTTCTTTACCGGCTCCAGAGTTTCCTGAAGTTTCTTCTTGTGTTGTCCAGCAGCTTCATCGATGGGTCTGAATCTGTGCTCCGAATGTTTTTGTGAGTCTCTGCAGACGAGACACACCGGCTCCTGATGGTCCAGACAGAAGAGTTTGAGTTTCTCAGAGTGCAGACTGCAGAGATCCTCTGAAGCTCTCTGATCTCTCTCCTGCAGAAAACTCTCACACAGGTTCTTTAAAGCAAAGTTTGGAGGTAACCAATTCTTAGAAAATCTTCTCTTACAAACTGGACACTCCTTATTCTCCTTCTCCTTCCAGCAGCTCTGCAGACAGTCTTTACAGAAGCTGTGGAAGCAGGACAGGGTGACTGGATCTTTAAAGATGTCGAGGCAGACCGGACAGCACAGATTTTCCTCTAACTTGGACGCCATTTTATCTCAGAGTCAAGCTGAAGATGCAGCAGACAAACAACTGATACTTGCTCCCTGTCACTGAAAGTTATTCCGATCTGTATTCTTTGTTCTTCTTAATTTCTCATTCGGTTTTTAGATTCAGTTTCAGGTTAAAGTGCAGATATTTCCAGTATCCTTGTATTTCTCGTTTTCTCAGTTTTCTTTCCTGCAGCTGTCTGGTTTTGCTCTGAAGGTGAATCTAAATGTCAGTCCGTCAGTGTGTCCTCTCTCAGTGTCGCAGAATAACAACCTTTGTCCAGGTTGTCTCAGGTGTGTCAACTAAGGGGGAAGAGATTTATTACTACAGCTACAGCAAGTTCAAGGTTCATAAAATAACTTTGAGATTATTAGCGACTCACCAACACTGATATCTTCTGGACAGATTCCATAATTTACAGTCCCGGCGTTCTGTTTCAGCTGTGGAGTTCCTGTCCGTCTGTCTCCACTGAGTGACAGCAGTGGAGAATCTAGATTCTGTAGGGCATTCATCACCATTATGTCTTCAATAATCTGACAACAAAAATAACTGATATGTCACATTGTAATTTTTCCAAAATATGAACATAAAAAACATTAATAACTTTCACCTGAAAGGTCTTAGATCTCGGTAAAGGACTGTGCAGATCGCAGTCCGTTTGAATTTTGAGAACTATTACGCAGGGCAAGTTGGAAAGAAGCAGTGTCCTCCTGATTTCTTCAGAAATGTGTTATATAATGTGCAAACTTAAAATATCAATGTAAGGTATCTAATTTGCCAGGCAAACCGAGGGTTGTCCAAAGCGGCCATGTGGGGGTGCTTTAAAACCGCTTACCCTCTGGGTACGGTACCCTCAGGACCAGAATCTAAACTTAGGGCGCATTCACACTAGGCAATCCATACCTTGCCTAAGAATGCTTCACCCCTAAAGTGTAGTTTGTGTGACTAGTGTGAGTGCTCCTATATTTGCCCAAGCATATACGTCCTTGACCCTGGCACGCTTCAAAGAGGTGTGCTTCCGTACGGTACAGTTCATGAATGAGCACAAGCACAGCACGTCCCTTTTTTTTTCTCGAGTCCGCCTGTCTTGTAAACTAAACATGCTTTGATTATGTAAAGCAAGCATTGCATGAGGAAACAGAAGTGGTAGTGAACAAGCTTAGTAAAATTAAGTTTGCAAAAAAGCCCAAAGATAGCAGTACGAATGATAAAAGTTAATGCAGAAAATGTGGAAATAAACCTTAATCTCACAAGTGTCCAGCTTATGGTCAAATTCAATGAGAAGAGTGAAAAGTTATTGGAGCACTTGAGACAAAAAGGATTGCAAAGAAAGAAACAACACATTTTAAAAAATAAAATAAAACAGAAAAAATGGACTTAAGTACTAAAAGTAAATGGCCAAAAACTCAAATTCAGGTTAGATGCTGGTGCAGATTCGTCTCATCACTGATTTTTTTTTTAAAACAAGTGGCTCAGAAGGATGCAACGCTGTTGGAGTCCAACTCCAAGTTGGTGACACATTCCCACCACAGGGTGGTGCCGTTGGGCGTGGCAAAGTTTATGTGCGAGTACAAAACTGCAGTGCATGAGTTGGAATTTTAGATAATCAAAGCCAACTTACTAGCTATCTTAGGAGGAGATTCTTGTGCACAAATGGGACTGGTAAAAATAATCTATATAGTGGAAACAGACATCTTGAACGACCACAAAGATGTGTTCACAGGGTTAGGATGTGTACTTGGACATCATCACATTCAGATTGATCCAGCAGTAACTCCAGTTATTCCCCCTCCAAGAAGAGTGCCGTTAGCACTAAAAGACAAAATCAAAACTGAACTGGAAAGTATGGAGAAACTTGGTGTGGTTGAAAAGCAGACAGAACCCACTGATTGGGTGAATAGCATGGTCACTGTCCGAATGCCTAACAAGAAAATGACAATCTTCATTGATCCCCAAGACCTTAACAAGGCCATAAAAAGATAACATTACCCCCTGAGGACAGTCGAGGAGGATGTGGCAGAGATGCCAGATGCAAGAGTCTTCCCAGTATTGGACGCAAACCAAGGGTTTTGGCAAATACGACTCGACGAAGACAGCTCAAAGTTGTGCACTTTTAACACGCCTTTTGGTAGGTAAGGTTTCAAGCGGCTTCCCTTTGGTGTGTAATCTGCTCCAGAGGTTTTCCAGAAATGCATTGCTCAGAGACTGGAGGACATGGAAGGAGTTGTGAATGTTATGGACGACATTCAAGTATGGGGTGCTGACAAAGAACAACATGATCAAAGACTGAGACAGCTTCTGGACAGAATACGGAGCATCGATCTCAAGCTGATCAAAGACAAGTGCAAGATTGGAATGACAGAGAAACCATACATCTGACACATTTTCAGTGCAGAAGGCCTGAAACCAGACCAAGAAAAGGTCAGAGCAATAATGGACATGCCACAACCACATGACAAGCCTGTACTCATGAGGTTTTTAGGCATGGTGCAGCACCTCTCAAAGTTAATTCCGAACCTGTCTGAAGTGAGTGCACCACTCAGGAAATTGTTGGAAGGTGATGTTATGTGGCATTGGGAAACACTGCAGCAACACCGTTTTGAAAGTCCGAAAAAACTGATAAGCAATTCCCCAGTGCTCAAGTTTTATGATGTTAATAAAGAAGTCACGTTGTCAGTGGATGCAAGCTCTGAAGGACTGGGAGCTATAATAATGCAGGAGGGACAACCTGTGGCTTATGATCCAGGTCTCTCACTGACACACAGAAAAGATATGCACAGATAGAAAAATAACTATTAGCTATTGTGTAAGGATGTTCAAACAGTATCTGTATGGGAAACAAGTACAGATGGAGTCTGACCATAAACCACTTAAGACAGTGTTCAAAAAAGGACTCCACAAAGCCCCTCCCAGACTTAAAAGGATGCTGATGAGGTTTCAGGCTTATGACTTGCAAGTGTCTTATAAGCCTGGTAAGGCACGAAAAGCCCAAAATAAATCTTTAAAATAAAAAATAAAAAGACTTGCATATTGCAGATACACTGAGCAGAGCTTTTCTGCAAGAACAGGATGAAAAACTACTGGAAGAGGAACTACAATTTAACCTCCTAACAGATCAACTGCCAATCTCAAAAGAAAAACTACAACAGTTCAAGGCGTCAACAGCAGAGGATGAACTACAGCTTGTGATGAAAGCAGTTCAATCAGGATGGCCTGAGCAGCAGAACCAAGTTCTGATTGAAATAAAGACATTTTGGACGTTCAAAGAAGAACTCACTTGTTCAGAAGGGCTTGTTTTTAATGACTCCAGACTTCTTGTACCCCATAACCTGAGAGCAGAAATACTACAAAAAATCCATGAAGCTCATCTTGAGTAGTGAAATGCAAAGAGAGAGCAAGAGATGTACTCTTTTGGCCCGGGATGTCCAAACAAATTGAGGACATTGTTTTAAAGTGTGCCATCTGTAACACATTCAAAAGAAATAAAGTGAAAGAACCACTCTTATGCCATGAAATTGCAGAGTGCAAAACTGGGTGTGGATCTTTTCCATTTTGATCAGAGTGAATATCTACTGTGTGTAGATTATTACTCAAAATACCCTGAAATTGCAAAACTGTCCCAGACAACAAGCAAGCATGTTATCACAGCACTCAAATCAATTTTTGCAAGACACGAGATTCCAGATGAAATTGTGTCAGATAATGGACCACAGTTTGCAAGCGAGGAGTTTAGACTATTTGCTAAGTGGGAGTTCAAGCACACAACAGGCTCAGGATTCCCACAGTCCAAAGGACAAAGTGAACAAACAATCCAGACTGAAAAACCTGCTCAAGAAAGCACAAAAGAGTCAAGGAGATCCTTATCTTTGTCTTCGAGAGTACAGGAATGCACCTTTGGATGGAGTGAAACTGTCTCCTGCGCAGCTATTAGGCAGACGACTGAAAACATAACTGCCAGTGACTGCTCAGCTGTTGAAGCCTCAGCTTGCAACACATTTGAAACAAAAACACTATTTTGATTGACCTGTCTAAACTACAGGAGGGAGAGAGAGTTCGGTTCAAAGTAGGTAATACATGGCAGCCAGCCGTTGTGAAACATATAGCCATGTTCAGCTGAGGTCTTTCGTGATCCAGACAACATTTTTCGGAGTAACAGACAACACTTGCTGAAAAAGCAGAGAGGACAATTCTCCAAAACCAAACTGTAACAGTCAGGAAGGATTCCTGGCAGAGACAGATGAGCCAACAAAAAACACTTTGGTGATACCAGCATCCATTCCTTCTCCTTTAAATGAAACTGTAACACCTGAAACAACCACAGCCGTTCCAGCAAAGACATTGCGCTTTGGTAGAAGGATTAATCCTCCAAAACGTTACTCACTGTAAACTACAGAGTGGAGAAATGTGATCTAGAGTTAACATTGTTTATATTGATACCATTAAAGTATCATTCTTTGTTAATGCCGTACTGACGTGTAAAATATATTGCATAATGTTCATGTTTAACAGAAAGGAAAAACCATAAAGAATAGAGGACTTCAAAGTTAATGTTTTGACAAGAAAAGTAACCTTTAAGTTGAATAAGTGAAAATCATTGACAATGCAAAGATTTTCATGTTAGCAGTCAGACGTGTATTATGTATTCTGACTTTCTCTTTTAAAAGAAGGGAGATGTGATGTGTGGTACACTAGGCTTAACCACTAGAGGGCGCTGTTAAGTTACCTATCTACAGAGTGACATGTATGTAGAAGAAGCATTCAATAAGACAGCTAGTTGAAAGCACGTTGGGCTCGTCGTCATTATAAATAAACCAAATCATAAATACTCCACATCAATACATGGCAATAGTAAGGTCACTTTATCATTTCAGTCAATACAGATCTCACTGATTGGACCTTTAAAGGAACAGGGCTGTGCAAGGTTGCAGTAATATTAAAGATACAATATGTAGGTTCTGCCGCAAGGGGGCTCTCAATCAATACTAGAATAACAAAAGTTGACGTCGAGGCTGGCGGGGAATCATGGGAGTTCTCTCTGCTACTCTACTCCGAGTTGACCGGGCGCAACTGACCTGAGGAAGAGAATATGTTTACCGACGAGCTAATGTATCCGAGTACATGATGTTTTTATCACTGCAGCACATACAGCAACAGTACGGCAGCTTTCAGCAGCAGCTCACGCTTCCTTATGCAGCGGCCTTTGATGTAACATCCGGTGTTTCCACGGCAACGATAAACATTCTGTCTGTCATGGCGGCTGCCTCGACAAGACACGTCCCATTACAACTATCAAAATTACAGATTTGTCTG